CTTAATAACTTCTTGTATAAATTTAAAGAATTTATTGACAAATCAGAATAACAGATTGAATGTTATACAATTTAATAGAATTATTTATATTAGTAGTCTAAATATTATCATTACACACAAATATTTTTATTATATAGTTATAGAAGTTATAGATATATAGTTATAGATGATAAGAGTATTATTTATAGAATATAATTTTTATATGAATTAAATAATACTGTTAATATTTATAACTTTTAAGTAATATTTATGTATCTAATAGATGAAAAAGTAACAACTGCTAATTCAAAATACAGAGCAACTGAATTATCATATCAACCAACCAACTCAGATGCATCTGTTTTGATCATGTATCTAGAATTTCTTAAAACTGCCATTGAAGCTTCAATTGAAGCAAAAATTATTATATCTAGAGTATAAAAAGGTACAAGCCTTATTACTCTGTTTTAATTAGTGATTGTAAAAGTAAGCCAGTTTCTCAAAAATCTGGTAAGTACTATATTATATTTGATAAATTTTATATTTATCAGTTATTTGTTATAATTTACTAATACATATTATATTTGATAAATTTTATATTTATCAGTTATTTGTTATAATTTACTAATGCATATTTTAATCATTATATTTTAATAATTTAATTTAATAATTTAGTATTTTAAAAACATTTTAACTCATTAAAGACAACCAAAGGTTACAGATTTTGGGCTATTATAGGAGACGAATAAAATATCTATAATCTCAAACTTAATTATTTATGGAATGCCAGTATATATTGAATCTTAATGTCTTATTAAGTATAAATATAAACATGATAAGAGATTTGATGTATATAGCTTTAAAATTCTATAGAAAATTTCTAGTGGAAGACCTCCGTTTTTATTCTTTGAATTTAGAGATTTAATCATTATTTATATATTTCAAGGAAATAAAGAATAATCTATAAAAGATATATTATTTTAATATATTAAACTTTATCAAAATGTTGAGACAGTGATTTTGCTAATTGTCTTTAATTCTTAATACTTTAAACCAAAAAAAATAGTATACTACAAATGGTCAAAAGTTGAAATCAGTATATGTAATTAGTATAATAGACCAACTTTTGGCAAACAGGCTCTATTTGTACCTTACATATGCTTATTGCTAGTAGCAAGTCTTTAAAGTTAGACAAGTTCAAGCTTATGGGCCAGGCTTGAGCCTGATTTGTCTGACTTTAAAGACCTGCTACTGGTAGCAAGCATATGTGAGGTGCAAATGGAGCTTGTTTGTCAAAAGTTAAGTTATTATACTAGGGATCTTATTTAGAATATATAAATATTATAAGATTATTTAATATAAAAAAACTCTAACCCCAACTCAAAGCTAATCAAAAACTATACTATGACCCTCACCCTAACCCTAACTATTCTCAAATCTGTTTATATTAGTTCAAATAATTATTTTTATATTAAATAATCTTATATTATTTATATATTTCCACCTATACTAAATATCAACCTATACTAGTTATATATACCAATTTCAACTATGTATCAATTGTAAACCACTATTTTTACAGCTCTCAAAATTTTAAAATCATATAGTCCCCAATTTTATATTCTATTTCTAATATTTAGTTATCTATAATTAATAATATTGTCTATATAGCAAAGTTAAAAGCACAAAAAATAATAGAATATTTAATTTATTAGAATTTTTTATTTTTATTTTTCAACATATAAGAAGCCTGGGTTCAAGAATCTGATGATTCACTCTCTAGAGTAGTGGCACTGTAATTATCATATGAAACCAACCATGGTAGTTGAAACAAACCTGTGTATAAATTTGGTAAATTTAATTATTATTTCTTATTATTTTTTTTCTTTGATAACCATGTACTAAAAGGTTTATTAAATTTTTACACTTTATTACAAATATATACTTAGACAATTTAACAAGATAATTAGACTAAGGCCGGCTATCTTCTAAAGATGCCCAACCTTGACTATTGCACTAATATTGGCTACTATACCCCACATACAGGTCATGTATTTAAAGGTCTAGCCTGGGCTCAGCTCCCACCTCAGAACCTCTTTTCTTTTTCAATTCTTCCTTCTTTTCAAGGGGCACGAGACAAAAGATAGAAAAGTTTAAACTAAGAGACTACAAAAATAACTAAAAAAGAAAAACAAACAAAGAAAAGAAAAAAGAAACACAGATTTTGAAAAAGAAAAAATATAAAAAGAAATCTAAAACTCTAAAGGCACTATTATAATCTGTGCAAGATTAGTAAAAATTATATAATAAATACAATATTTGTATATTTCTCTTGTAAAGCTTCGCCTTAATGTTAAAGTTTACTTTCTGACCCTTTACTAACTTTGGATAGCTCCATTGCCTATTCCAATTCATATCTCGAGCCAAGTGCTGCCACTATCTGAGAACTTGTATTTTAAGCTACTTGCTACTATAATTAGAGTTTCCAGGCTGAGTTCTGTGGAGTAGTATCATATCCATCTATAAACAAACACATAGTTGTATTCTACTAGACTGTCCAAATTTGGGAGATAAACAATGCTAATCTTTTGTAAGGGGTAAGCCAAATCTCCACTTTTTGTCAAAAAATTTGAAAGAAAGGCAGAAAAGCAAAAAAAGAATAGTAGAAACCACTTGGTCAGAAAAAAGGAGTGTGGCCTATTCTTTACTATTCCTTAGTTGTTTTGCAAGTAATAGCTTTGTTGATAGAAGGCTTGGACTTCTATTATCTTCACCTATCTACTAAAATTTTGCATACAAGAGCACTATCTTCTGCCAGTTATCTTGTATACAAACGCTTTTGGCTTGTATGTCAAATATATTAAAAAGTCTCCAAGGTAGAAAAGATTAATCTTTATAAAAACTACCCTGTTGATTTATCTTATTACAGGTTACTACTCTCCAGTATCGAAAATAGGCTTTTCTTTTCATTAGAAAGTTTGATTCAAGTGATCATTAGAAAGAGTTGATAGTAACAATGAATATTTAATTTAATTGTTATAATTAGTAAGTTTTTTAAATAATATATACTGTATATATTGTTACAGAGTAGTAGCCTTCTTAATTTACTCTATAACGACGACACGGCACAGGGAATCCTTTCGTAGGTATATGCGGTGTC